ATACTTGTGTTAGCAGCTCTTCTCTGTGATGAGATGATCAAAGTACGCAGGAGTCGTTGCACTGATTCACACCTTCATTCAGTCCTGAGAGTTTCAGCAGCTCAGTCTGATCAAAAACACTGAAATATGGAGCAAAATAAAGATGTCAGGAGTGGCGTTTGGCTTTTATCAGAGCTACAGAGTGTTTTCATGTGTCTACATTTTCTCACCGTTTTTCCTGTAATTTTAAGGTGTCATCTCAGTGAAGAGATTTTACTGAAGGATGTTTTTAGGTGTTTTATATGGGCAAGGGAAAATGCTCTTTGTGGAACCAACTGATAAAGAGAAAGACATCAGAAATAATTGAAAGTATAAACATCTACTTTACTTATTGTAAATATAGCTAATTGTTGAGAAGCTACGCCCACCAAGGTGTTGTTTTTATCCTCTGCATGTTTTCCAGACTGATGAACCTTCAGTGGTGATTCAAGTCACTGTTCAGAACTCATTTCTTTCGAAGTGTTGGTGATCAGCTGAAGGCCACTTTGTAATAATTTATAGCATCATTGTTTTAATTTATTGTCTTTCTATTGCCTGCCTGAAGAAAAAAACAAGCTTCATAAAACTTGTAACAAGCTTCATTTTTAATCTTTACAGAAGATTAAAAAATGTCTGTAAAACATATTTATCTTAACACATTTGTTACGATAAGTCAATTTTGCTGTGTCAGTTGGGGAAAACCCTCATGCCTGGTGGCTTGACGGGAACACACTTCAGCAGCTAGTTGTAGTCAAATGTTTCAGCCTGAACATTTCGGAGGAAGAACATCTTTCAGCCATGCTCCACCTCATTGTTCCCAGTCCTAATGACTGGGAACAACTATGGGTTAAGTTTCATTTCAGCTTTTTAGAACTTTTCATGTTTCTTTTTGAACTCATTCTTGTGGCATTTTGACCTGCAAATAAGTTGTTGTGTTTTTTTGCATAAAGAAGCAGTTAAGCAGAAACACGTAGCGAGCATGCTGTGTTTCACCAACTGCCACAAAGAAGAAGAGGTGTACTGGTTTTCTTGCGATTTTAAAGTTGTCCAACTGGAGCAAGCACACTAACATCTTGATCCTCATTATCTTCCACCATGGTTGTTGTCTTTTTTCCTACTTCCACGTGTCAGGATGCTCAAGTCCTGAGATGTGATATTTGTGAATGATGTTCAGGTCGGATGAATGCAACCTGGCCATACAGTCACAGGTAATATTTAAAAAGATCAGCTAAGTATCAGATTTAGGAACACATATCCAAGTGGCCTGGGTCGCATTTGTAAAAGTCCGACTTGTTTTGTCATAAAAATATCAAATACAAGTATCAAGGCAAAATAAATTGGATTTGAGTCACTTCAGGCTGCAGTGTTAATGCAGCCTGACTCTTTGATTACCTAGCAACAACCTGTTGAGTAACGAACTCAGAAGCCATTTAAGGTTTCGTGACCATGCCTCATTACATAGTTAAAACAGGAAAGGTCACACCACCAGTTAGGCAGTATTCCAGATAATTAAAACAAAACCTAATTAATACTTATCGATATCGACTGATATAAAGAGCTTATATTGTGGAATGTTTTCAGCCATATTGTCCAGCCCTACTATTTGTCTCCATCTCTCAATGGACAGGTCCTCCCTGACTTAAAGCAATGCTTTCAACATCAGGGAACTCTTTTCTATACTGCTGCTGAGTAAGGATTGGATTAGACAGACTCACCCAGAACCAACTCGATGTGTTGTCATCAGATCACCATGGAGACACTGATTTGTTAATTGTGTAAATGGGAAACAAGTCTGGGTTGCAACATTGTAAGTATTAATCTTAGTTCCACTTGGAACATAATAATTAAATACTTTTACTCAGATAAATATTCTGCTAGTCATCCCAATAACTGAAATAATATTGGAAAATGTGGGATAGATTTCTTTTCAATTCTTAAAATATTTTTATGATAAATCCCACAATACAAGTTGGTATTAAAATGTCCTAACCAAAAGAAAAAACAAACAAACAAACAAACCTCTAAAAATTAAACGAGACTGAATTTACATTCATTTTTGGAGAGTAACCAAACATTTAATACAGCTTCCATACAGCAGCTTGCCTAGTGATATTATGCAGCAGCATTAGGAGAAATGTGCTGTGTACTTGACACTGTGTGAAATGGCATTTTGCAGTAAAGTCCTCTCATCTTCTACTTCAAGCAGATTAAAGCCAACTGGGATTTATTAGCAGGCAGCACCGTGGCAGGTTTGTCCAGGATCATCCCACCCTGAAGTAGGTGGAATGTTACAAATTTCCATGGTGCAGCCCACAGCCTCTGCTCTGTTTAATCATACATCTGAATCAGTACAGGCACATACCTGACTGGCTGGATATTGGCACAAAAACAAAACTTTTTACTCTGAAACTAGAGATGCTGAAACTACATCTCTAGTTTCAGCATTTTCATTTTCCTCAGCAGTTGCTTTATCACTGATATTATTGCTATTACAACAAATATAATACATAGTGCAAAACAGGACCAGTAATTGGGTGAAGCCTCTGAATTGTAACAAGGGATAATCTTTTTAGACTAACTTAATCGTAAGAGTTCCTGTCTGGAGAAAGAGGAGAAAAAACTTTTAGTTTGATGGTTACAGAAGATGAAATACTTGTCCCCTGCAGACTTTAGAAGCTTATTTAAAAACAATACTATGTCCACCTTTTGCAGTTTCATTTTACTATGAAGAGACAAAATATCACTGAAAACAAGCCAGCTGATTTGTCACTGGGTGAAATAACTCAGATTAGTTAAGTGTCATACGCAGATTACTATCAACTAATTATGACTGCTATTATTTACTTCACCAGGTCATGTCCTTAAAGATCACTATTATACAAAATAAGTTTACTCTACTTTCTTTTGGTCACCATGAGAACAGGAACACTGGACATCAGCTGGGATGGGCTTCAGAATCCGCATCATTGTCAAAATGACATAAAATTTTCATTAGAAAATGGAGGAAATGTAAAATGACCATCAGTTGCTCTTAGTCTGAGGATCTCTCCTCAATGATTATGAGAAAAATTAGTTCACAACAACTGGAGGAGTTTATTGATCTGAAGCTGGTTGGGAGCACAGTCATCAAGAATACAATGTTCCCAATCTAATTACTGGGAACACTGTACTGCATGCTGACATTTAAAGGCATGTCTAAAGATTGCCAGTCAAGTTTTAGTGGTTCAGATAATGCTTGGGAGAAATTGTTTTCTTATCAAACAATAACAAAGACAAAAGCTTTTGGTGTAAACATGATCCAGTTTGTTTATATAAGAAGAAAAGTGGCAGTATGAGCTAGACACTACAATTCGTACATTTGTCAAGCATGTAGTGGAAAACTTTGTCTCAGACTTTTTTGTCTGATAAATTTACATGAAGACTTTGCTACACTGAAGGCCCAACTAGAAGAACCCATTTCTATAATCAAAACCATATTACATGGGTCATGGGTGGGTCTTCAGAATGACGATGTCCCAAAGCATAGTAAGAATTGTAATAAAGGAACGGCTAAAGATGAAACACATTAGGTTAGAGCCAGTCTCTGAACCTCAACTATACTGAAAGGCAAAATGTTTAACTTCCCACAACATTAACAAGTGGGAGCCAAAAAAACCTAAAGAATTTAAAAGCTTATGCAAAGAGGAGTGGGTCTAAATCTCTCCTGGAGAGAGTCTGGAGACCTGTAGAAAAATCTACAACACTCTTGTTTTGTCAGTCAAGTTCTATGTCATGTTTTACTTTGGGACCAAAGACCCATTTATCTTAAAGATCTGAAAATCCATGTTTTTAACTTTAATGCAGTTCTTTTTGTTGGTGGGGGGGGCGGGGGGCTGGGAGGGATTTGGTTAATTTTCTGTCTCTCCATATAAAACTCAAACTACCAGAAAAAATAGACTTAATTTCTTTGTATTTGAGCAAATATTATAAATCAGCAAGAAATCTCAGGAGTTGATAAGGAGATAATGACAGAAAGGAAAATGGTGTCAAAGCAAACACTTCTTTAGCCATGTTCAGGATGTTCTTCCGGTTAATTTCATGATGTATTTTTGACATATACCGTATTTTGAGTATAAGGCGCACCCAAAAGCCTTAAATTTTCTCAAAAATCAGCAGTGCGCCTTATAATCCGGTGTGCCTTATGTGTGTACTGAATTCCAAAATCTGTCCCTGACACAGAGATGCAAAGTGTACAGTACGTACGCTGGCAGCAATAAACCAATCAGAGGACATTACGTAATACGTAAAGTACGCAGGCCAGCAGCAATAAACCAATCAGAGAATTGCTGTCCGAGTTCTGCAGCATACGCCTCCGGTAAAAACCAGATAGGTTTTTCCATGAAGAAAGCTAATATAAAGCTAGTATAAATGAATTGCAGGCGGACCTACTTGGTGTTACTGGTGCTTCTCTATCACCCCAGATTTACACTGCATGTGTCTCCGCTCTGCTGCGCTCTTCAATGGCAGAGTCCAGCTCTTTCTGACCAGTTCCACCTCACATTTGAAAATTTCTAAATAAATGCAACTTATACTCCAGTGAGTCTTATGTTCTATTTCCTGATTTAACACATTTTTTGACTGATGTCACTTGTGCTCTGAAGAAACTTACAGTACAGAAAATATGGTTGCTTAGCCAGAGTTGGCTACAGAGTTGGTGCAGAGTAAAGCCAAGTAGGTTCACACATTGCAACAAGGTCATGAAGGAGAGAAGGGACAGAGCAATGGATCTGAAAATGGTGTGAAATCTTCAATGTTGAGATTATTAAACAACTGTTTCAAATTGCTATTTATGGTTGTAAAATAGCAGCAAAAATAGTAGTGAAATAGGTGATGGCAGCAGTGAAAAAACACAAAGAATTCCAGGTTATCCAGAATTTTGTTGGTATCTTAAATAGCTTTCATCATGCAGCTTTTCAGAAAAACACAAAAGCATTTTTACTCACCCAGGTTACTTTCATTGATTGCATCTGTGGAAACAGAAACCATAGTTTTATCAATAAACATGATCATCAGAGTCGGAATGTCTGGCCATACTTTAACTATGAGACTGAACAATTATTCACCAGTGATGTTATGTCTATGTGTTTAGCTGGGAAACTTTCTGACATGCAGAGGCCTGCACTGGAAAAAGAAACGGGTATGCATACTGAACCCAGATCAGGATCACACTGATGCTAGCAAATCACTGTTAGTGTGGGTGTATCTCCAACATTCTAGAGTTCATCTATCTCAACTAAAAAAATATCTCTCCTGAGATCTAGAAAGAGGCAGGTTTTACTTACTGGCATTGTTACTGGAATTAATTTTAGTGTTTGGATGTTGGTTGTACTTAAGGCTTTTAGAATAAACTAAATGTAACTGTTTTCTTGAATTGGAGAAGATTCATTCTCACTTTCAGTGTGCTGATGTGTTGGGATTGACTAGACCAAAGAGTAAACTAAACCGCACACACACGGGCCATTAGGTCATAAGGACCTTGCCAACACACTCATACTCATACAATGTGTATGAGTGTGAGTGGAGCCACAACAGTCTCACAAAGCATGTCATTGTACTATATGTGTCACTATATGTGTGTATGCATGCATGCATACGTGTGTGTGTGTGTGTGTGTGTGTGTGTGTGTGTGTGTGTGTGTGTGTGTGTGTGTGTGTGTTCATACACGTGTTTATGTAGATGTATAAGTAATCAGCAAAAAAACACAGGGAAAAGACCCAAAACATTATAAGCTTAGGTCTTCAGCTAAGCTAACTTGGTTTTACTGTAGACAATTTTCACATCTCTCTGTTTTTGATAAACAGCACAATGTCAAAAATAAATCCACAGGCAGGTATTTGGCGCTTCCAAACTGAAAACACGATTTTCTGCTTTCCACCGTAGTCTGCAGTGGCCCCTGTGGAGCTATGCTGAAAACACAGAGTATCAGTGCAAATAAGAAACACTGTCATTTTTTCTTCAAAACTGCAATTTTTATTGTGCAAAAACAAACAAAACAACTAACTCTTGCCTAGTGAGGCAGAGAGGAAGAGAAACAGAGTTAATTACAATGAGATCTGTGATCCAGAACGCAGTGTGTAGCTTGTGAATGATATCCTGCATTGGATGTATAAAGATCCATCACGGTTTCACAAATTACAACTGTGACCTAGCCGCTGCCTTAGCTCCACAGAACTGCCCCCCTTCACACCCAGGAGGGCCCTGCGTTCAACTTATGCTTTGCTCTACACAAACTTGTTTACTCCCACAGCAGCAACACAACTGACTGGAGCCAATCTGTTGCTGGTGAAAAAGAGGCAACTGATGATTTTGGATCCCCATGAACAAATCTGAGTCCAGAGGTCTGTTTCACAAAGTAGGATAACAAAATCCAAGATAAGAGATAAAGCCAAGTTTGACATAGCGCCATCATTTCATCCTGATGACCAAACCTAGTTTAGTAGGTGCAGCTTTGTCGAGCCAGACTTAAGTAATTCAGGTGACAACAAATCCACGTCTTCAAGAGACCATGAAACTGATGACAGATCCACTGATGCTGCGCTAGATAAATTGTGCATAAAATGAACATCTTTTAATGCAGTATTATATTCTATCA